CCAAATTCAGCTATGTTATGCTCCTCGACGAGCACAAACTTTTGACATACGTCATGAACAAAGTTGGCAACTGGAGTGAGAGAAATCTTAGAGAGAATGTCGCACAAAAATGCATTATGCAGAAATCTATATGCGTGACAATACCCTCTCTCCAACAATCGTAAATTGAAACTCTGAGGTTAGATCGATAAAAAAACAGAGGCATTTTGATCGTTGCTCGACGAGCTACAATTTGAGGTAAGATACCTCAAGAATGAGGTCCGAGAAAACACCCTTCCATGGCTCGCAAGTGGGCACAAGTTTTGAGACATCGGAAAAGTGATTTTTCGACGACTTCCCGAAAACCCAAAATGATGAATCTGAGGCCATTCACATGGATCTTGATGCAAAACAACTATGACGGCATCCCCTTCGATTTGTTGACAAAAACAAGACAATAAAAGCAACACTTTTGATAAGATCGAGCAACAAAGAAAGTAAAAGTTTGCATGGTGACCGAAAAAGTAAAAAATTGCAAGAACACTCTCTAAACTCTAGGATACTAGGCAAATCTTATATCAAAATAATCACCTCAGCACAATCTACATTTTCAAGATAATAGATCGTAGAAAACGTTGTTAGAAAACCTGAAAAGAAGGCCCCAAGCCACATGAATGGGAAGAGGCTACTTTTTGTGGTCCTAGGTGTCATTTGTACATTTTTTAATGACTTTTTTTTTGTCATTTGAATGCGATTACATTTTATTTTTCTTATTTCTATTTTTCATCAATATCTATGAGTTTTGAGTGTACACCCATGTTTCAGGGGTTATCTTTCTATACACCCCATATTTTGTAATATGTAATCGGTTGTAAATGAGTTGAAAAATCAATAAAAATTGCTTAAACATATGAGAGAGAGTGTGTGTTTTTTGCATTATGCCCTGTTGAAAATCCTTTGCCCTAAGGGATGAGAGAGAAACTTTGTGCAAAAGTGAGACTACTACTCCATTACCATACTCCCTAGCTAGACCATAGTCCCATCCTAGACTATACCCAATACCCATCCATACTCCACACGCATCCATACTCCTTAGCTAGACCATACCCATACCCATACCCATTCATACTCCATATCGATATGTACTCCCTACCCATCTGTACTCCATACCTATCTACACTCCCTTACCTAAACCACTCTCTAAAGAGGCTTGCGCCTATGGTTAAGCAATGTGATTAGTACCTTTTGCCTCCATAGCCGGTATTTCCTCTTAGGGAAGGTCACACCGGAGGGCCTACAGATTTTTTGAGTGGTCATCTCATCCTAGCCTACCTAGCTTATTTACGTAGCACGCCTAGCCTACTTAGCTTAGCCTAGCCTATCTAGCCCACCTAACCTAGCATGCCTAGCCTACTTAGCCTACCTAGCCTATCTAGTCTAGCCTAGTACTCCAATACCACCTAGTCTACCCTAGTCCAACCTAGCCTACCCTAGTCCAACCTAGCCTACCCTAGTCCAACCTAGCCTAGCATAGCCCAACCTAACCTAGCCTTGCCTAACCTAGTCTAGACCAACCTAGCCCAACGTAGACTAGCCTAGCCTAACCTAGTCTAGACCAACCTAGCCCAACCTAACCTAGTCTAGCCTAAGCTAGTCTAGACCAACCTTGCCCAACGTCGTCTAACCTAGCCTAGCTTACCCAACCTAAATCATGTCCAACTTAACCTAGTCTGGCCAATCCTACCTAACCCACCTAGCCAAGCCCACTGAGTCTACCATAAGCGTTTTGTACTGGACTAGCCACAAAATATGCCAAATTGGGCCTCATGATAACATAAACTTTTTGTGGCTGACCAGGCCTCAGGATAACAAAAGTTTTGCGCCACACCAACCACAAAATGTGTTGGACTGGACCTCATGATAGCATAAGCTTTTCGTGCCCAACCTGTCACAAAATGTCAGGCATTAGGATAACATAATGTTTTTGTGCCGAATTGAGCACAAAATATGCCGGACCGGCCTGTTGAGCACCAGAAGTAATTGTGTATACAGAGTGACACTGCTAGGGAGTACCATTGAAAGCACAAACCATAGACATAGTTCGTTGGGGAGAGAGAGACACATACAAAGAGAGAGAGAGAGAGAGAGAGAGAGAGAGAGAGCAAAGTCTCGAGATAGAGCGAGAGATGAATTACACTTTCATAATATTACAATGGGCACAACATTACACTTTCATAGTAAGCTAAAATCCAATGGGTATACTATTGATTTTCCTTGGAGGAAAACTATACAAAATTCCACTTGCAACATGAATTTGCAACATATGAAAACCATATAAAATTCCACGTCGAAGCTCCATTCATAAGACAAGGACTGCTCCACCAGCATTGGGCTTGAAATTTTTTTTTGAGATGAGGAGCTTGAGGGAAGCATTGGGCTTTTAACACCAGCCAACTCCAGTCGCGTTCTTAAAGATATAGCCACTGCTTTGACTTCTTGCGATGTTATCCAAACTGATATAGTCATAAAACATTTAGAAAACTCATTAGCTCGGTAACGAATTGAAAATGGAAAGAACTAAGCATTTAACATAAAACAAATGCCATTACACTCTAGTACATTTAATAGATAATAATCAATTAGTGCTAATGTATTATTCATATAACTTCAAAAAAGTGCAAATGTATTATCGATATACATTCAACATAGAGAATCTTATATATAGTGAAGTCTAAAGAGTGTTTCACTTAGCTTCAGGCGCCATTATGCGTATTTCCATGTCAGACCTGTATAAGTTGCAAAATAGTGATTCGTTGACGCATTATTTTAAACTCACGACAATATTAAAATATAACATTTGAGATGAGCAATTGTAAACATTAGTTCTAATTTACCTTTGAATTGCTCAAGTTGGACAAGTATGCCTATCATGCCCAATATTTTGGCAAACCAAACACTTCATCTTGCTTATCTTTGAAGAGATGAAAATTTATTGCCTATAATTTACCACATCTCCATTAGCTCAGTTAACTGAACAAATAATGCCCAATTTGGATGATTCTTCTATCCACAATCTAAAATTCTATTACTTTAACAACCACATATAACATTTAAATCAAATTTATGAAAATAAACAACATGGTTTCACATAAACTTTAAAAAAAAAGAAAGAAAAATGGGATACAAGATTAACACAATGAAAAAAAATAAATGCAACAAGTACATTTAGCATAACCAAATCAACAATTATATTAATTTTCATTGATTGATCAGATCCCCAATCTTTGTCTATCATCCAAAACAAAGAGGGATAGAGTGAAAAACCTTATATACTATCTCCCTCCGTCTCACTCTAACAATCACGAAAGTTTATCTTTATTCTAAAAAACCTAAAGCAATAATGAAAACTCCAGTTTGTCAAAAAAATAATATTAATAACAATGAAAACCCTTAAAGTGAAAACGCATAAAAAACGACAAGAACATGAAGACCTCAAAACTCAGATGTCCCCCATTTCATCTATGCCACGGGCAATAAAATAAAAAAGCAGAAAAAAAATTGATTTCATGATATACATACCTGGTGATAGTAATGCAGGCAAACCCAAGAGGAGTGAAAGAAAGATAGCAGAAGTGCAAAATAAAATAGGCTCATAATGAAGGTTTTAGCTTTTTCTTCCTTTTTCTCCCGTTCTCTCTTGCACTTTTCTTCTCTTCCCCTCTTCCTCCTGTTCTCTCTCTCTCTATGATCTATTTCAAACGAGCCCTTTTTTCTTTTTCCCATGCTCTCTCTCTTTCCGTCCCTATTTATTGAAGGGTGCAGTTGGCATACGGATGCATTTGTACATGTAGAGGTAAGGTTGAAACAATTTCCACCATTCAAACATTTCAATGACTGAGATTGTGCACTAAAACCAAGGGGAATACCGACGCTCACCGGTGCTCTAGTTTTCTTCCCTTAACTAGAGAAAGAAAGAGGCGCAACTGGGTTTCAATAAAGAGAGAAAAGGTATGATATGCATTTTCTCTCATATCTGCATCCATCTTTGTTTTAGATTAGGAAGTAACAGGGAAAAGGTGTAGAGAGAAAGTGTTTGGTGAGAGAGGGGGAAGTGAGGTGCGGAATGCTCAAATTCTGCTGCACTCTTTCCGCCATTGTTGCTTAATTTTATCTGTAATTTTGTTGAATTTAAGTGATTTTTGCAATGCATTCTACGATGCTTGAAGAAGGGGTGGAGAGGGCCTCTAATGGTGAGGCATGCGAATTTGAGAAAGAAAAATCCAGTGAAGAAGAGGAGCTCTCTGTTCTTTCGAGACACACCAAAGTGTGGTCACTGGTAATACTCACACCAAATCTGTGTTGTGGGTATTCAAGGTGTTGTGAAAAAGTCAGTTGGTCTTGGTGGGTGGATTTGGTTTGTTCTCACCAATGGCATGGAGGTGAAGTCATAGGGGAACGCCTTGAGTGCTATTGAAGCCCTCATTGGGTATTCTCGGTTGGAAACCGGAGCCCAAACTAGAAATCATAAAAAAATTGTTTATTTATTTATTTGTATACAAATGGGGCTTATGCGAAACCACCATGGACTTTGCAAAGAGAGCAGAAAAGGTAAAGTGGTTTTCTTAAGACATGGTGCAAGAGAAAAGGAGCTTAAGAAACCACCATTGACACCACTAAAAAGCGCCTTTAAAAACTACTAAAGAGCTTTCATTTGAAAACTTTTTCACTTTTTTTAGTTTATATCAATGATCAAGACCCATACGAGAAAATCATACAATGCAAAACCATCATCGTTTTGATGAGAGAGTGGTGTAGGGTGGAGAGAGAAAGAGGCGTATAGTGAAGAGAGCGAGATGCACAACCGGAAGAATGATCGGTTGCTTCCAATTGAAAGTATTGGCATATGACGTTGAAATGCAAAATCTGAACCATCCAAAATATTAGACGGCCTACATCCTTAGCTATTGACGAAAGGATGCAACCGTATATAAACTTTTCCCTTTACTGAAAAGCTATCAGTTGAGCCCGAAACCCTCGAAATGTGATATCTTGAGTGAAGTGATCTCAGCTGCCTATTTGAATTGGACGGCTAGGAAGGAGGGGAAACATGATTGTTATTTGCTGTAGGGCGAAGCATAAAAATCTTTCCACGCAATCTTAAACTTTTTCCTAATACCTACGTGGAATGTGGATGTCCTTCAGGTTATTCCAGTCATTTAATGATCTGCAAATGCCCTTTCGTTTCTGTCTTTTTTGTTAGATCCCTTTCGTTTCTATATTCTTTGAGGTTTCGGTCTCTGGATGCAAATGCACATCCATGGCCACGCCACCTTAAATGGCCCAGCCAAAAGTTGCAGAGCCAGAGGACCTTCTCTGAAACGGCAATGGCGAAATCCTCTGTCACCTGCCTAAACTTTCAGAAACGATGGATTCTCTTACTCCTCGCTATCTTCTCCATATCGACTGGCATCGCCTTTATTATGAGAGCTGCTTTTGATCCCTGTGATTTCCATTCTCGTTCCGTTGAGGAAGTCATGGTTTCTATTCCAGAAAGACGAGGACCTGAGAAAAACTCAGGGTTTCTTGATTTCATGAAATCGAAGCTTATTCTTCTTGTGTCTCACGAGCTTTCGCTCTCCGGTAAGGGTGTCATCCAGATGCTTTTTCTTGTTGGGATTGGACATTACGTAATGCCCAAGTTTATGATATTTTTTTGCTGCAATGGTTTTCTTTAAGTTTCATTTCCCTATAATATTATGCATTTTGTTTGCAGAATTTAGGATTTCTGAGTTATCTATGCCACTAAGAAGCAGTTTTTTTAGGTTTAGAGGTGGTTTACTTTATTCGTATGGCATCGGTTCATGTTCATGCTTTGTTAGTGATGGAGTTGACAGTGAATTGACTATGGCTGAAAACGAGACCGAGAGTGGATTTCAACCTATCTGTATCGTAGAGATCTCATCTTATTAGTATTTGCTTATTTGATTCGTTCATCTTGGTTGTCATATTGATATTCTATTTTCATTTACTTAGTGGAGGCAAGACTGGGGGCTTTGCTAGAATTCCATCTACTGTCGATGCAACAGTTTGTTTGTTCATTTTGGAGCCGTATCTAACTGTGTTCATTGATTAAAGAGGTGTCCTTTGATCATTTTGGAGCCATATCTAACTGTGTTCATTGAGTAAAGAGGTGTCCTTTGTTCATTTTGGAACCATATCTTACTGTGTTCATCGAGTAAAGAGGTGTCCTTTGTTCATTTTGGAGCCATATTTAACTGTGTTCATTGAGTAATGAGGTCTCCTGATTATTCCCCCCTGTACTTTTGATAACTGAGTAATGCCTGGGCCTTTTTTCCTTATATGATTAAGCCTGGGCTTGTCTGGTTCATGCCTAGAGATCTTGGATAGGTATCCCATCAACGCACCCACCATTCTTATCAGTTATTATATGTTCTTATGAGCCAGGAGGCATTGTCATTATTTGCTTTTCCTTTTGTTTCGTGCTGCCTTCTATCACCAAAAACCAAGCTCTTTACATCTGTATACTTCATGTCTTAAATGACTAGCAATTGGATCTTATCAATGATAATTCCTCCCATTTGTTAAAATGGGCTACTCTAAATATGGGTAGTTCATTATTACAAATTCCTTTCATTTTCTAATTATTTTCCATTCCTTTGTATTGGCTCATTGATTTAAGGTTCTCCATTTCTCCATCTCATGTAAACTCATTCAGTCCAGAACTTGGAAGGGCCATCGGCATCTAGAAGGACTGAAGGGAAGTGCTTGATTGTCTACATTTAGAAGCTTGAAAGCACTATTTCTCTTGACTTTGTTGCACTTTTGTTGTTAAATGCAAGAAAGTATAGATCTTCCAATCTTGATGAATAGTATCTCATGTTTCCATGATATATGCTTCTTCTCTTTTCAAAATAGGATCTTGAAGCTCCCACAGACAAAGAAGGTAGATCCTAACCAGGCTTGCAATGATTCTCCATCCCAGTCTCTATATTTGCAGTGAATCCTTTTTTCTTTGTGATCAAATTTTTCTATCTCCTTATTTTCTTGTTTAATTGAACAATAGTACGAATTTTACTAAGGCAACCATATGAAATATAATACGCCATGAAAGAGTCACTGAGATAGGTTTCATGTCAGTGATTAGGAAGAGGCTGCCTCAGTGAAAAGATTATCGCATGTTAGCACCATTGCCATCTCTATCTACCTCCCTCAAAGTATATTGGGAAGAAAGAGAGGGAAATGACCCTATTTGTGATCTCTCTTCCTGAAACCATAATTGGGTTCCTATCTTGTGGGTGCGCAAAGTCTCAACCCCTTGAGTGAGCCCTTCTCCACTTTCTTTGCTTTTCGATTGGTTGATATCAACCATTGTCCTTGTGAATCTGAGGAACAAAAGTTGGTCCTTCAAGGTTCCTGAGCAATGCTTGCATCTACTAGCTGTAAGATGTGCTTTTAATTCCTCTACCTAGGGGAAAAAATTTTCTTCTGCAATTGCTTTTCCTTGAAGATACTCAATTACTCATTGTGGTAATGACCAAAAGGAACAGAAAGTGCTCCCTTGCACAAAGCCTCTGTAACTTCCAAAGTTGTCCTCTGGGACTGGATTTGCCATGATGAAAAAGCATGCTGTGGATATACAAGCTATTACTTGTTACATCATCCCTTTGTGGGTACATCCTTTGCAGCGTGTCCATTCAGAAGTATGAATCCTGGTTCCAAACATCTAATGGAAATCCTAGGTCTTGATATGGATTTGGAATTGAGAGGTTTATGAGCTCCCACTACTCTAATGGTTCGTCCAGCCTGTGGACCTCAACTGCCACATTGTAGAACCTGCCACCAAACTAATACTCTAGATTGAGAAAATAACTTCTCCGAAACATCTGCAAAATTCTTCCTAACAATTCCTTCCAATTGATAAAGCCAATTGTTTTAATCTCAGAAGGACAGGAAAATTGATCTTATATTAAGTTATGATCCCACTTATGTTGAAATTGTATGTGTTATATGGGCAATACGAAATAACGGAAACTTTGTTATTAATCTCCCATTTTTGCATTGAAATTGTCTTATCTTTTAAATGTTTGATATGTACTTGGTACATTGTGTATAGAATGATAGAAGATCTGGAAGATAATCACTGTAAATCATAAGATTGGCGTGCTATATAAAGTACTGCTATATAAATTACACCGGAAAATGAGATATTTAACTTACAGACCTGCAATGATGGTTATCTCTATACAGGGGGCCCTTTGCTATTGATGGAGTTAGCTTTTTTATTGAGAAATGGTGGTGCTCAGGTGGTATGGATCACTAACCAAAACCCAGCTGAACCAAATGAAGTGGTGTACAGTTTGGAGCATAGAATGTTGGACAGAGGAGTTCAGGTATCCAACTTTTACATTTACTTCATGAACTATTTAGTGAGCTGAGGATTGTTTAATGCTTTTCAGTTTATCTTTGCTTGCCAAGGCATACAGAGACCAGGCCTATTCTGAAAAAATAAATAATTGTTTTCTTTGGCTTGAGATGTTCATTATGTATACATTTCAAAATGGTTAGACTATCTGGTTCAGATTTCCTGAAAAGTTAAGAATATAAATTGGATTCCTTATTCTGTTGTTTGGCTTAGCGCATTAAATATGTAGAGGATACATGTTGAATTAAATTCAATTGGCAGATCTAAATAAAAATATGAAGCATTTATCTGTACATAAGACTTTTTTTTCAAGAATGTCTTTCAAATTCCCTTCTCACATCCTTCGGCCTGTTGGGAACCGTTCACATTCACAAATCGTGGGGACAAATTTTTATGTTTCAAATCTAGTGAATTTGGGTATGTAATTACGTGATTGACATTTATTCAGATGCCCCTATTTGTCCTTTAAGAACTACCTTTGCATGATCTCCTGTCCCACAATTGCATAGCTTGTATGATCAGGCTAGTTTGTCTTACATGCATATGCATACCTGTGTCATGCCTTTTGCATTTAATTTCTAATCATAACTTTTAATATGAGACTACTAGTGTTTTGCTTCAGGGTGCATTTTGAGCACTGATTATGATTGTGGTATTTAGATTATCACTGATATACCTTGGATTAGAGTAGAGGCTTTGTTCTTAGTTTCTAGCCACATATTCCATTTGCATGGTCTACGCTTCCGGACTTGCCTTTACTGAATCAAATTGAAATTGAAAGCTTAGTTTGTGATACTCTCTAATTATACATGTTCCTACTTTTCCAAGGTAATTCCGGCAAAGGGTCCTGAAGCTTTAGAAACAGCTTTGAATGCGAATTTAGTCATCTTGAATACTGCTGTGGCTGGTAAGTGGCTGGACGCTGTTTTCAAGGAAGGTGTTTCTCGTGTTCTTCCGAAAGTTTTGTGGTGGATCCATGAAATGCGTGGGCACTACTTTAAACTGGAGTATGTTAAGCACCTGCCTTTTGTTGCTGGTGCCATGATTGATTCACATACAACAGCAGAGTATTGGCGCAATAGGACCGAACAGCGTTTGGGGTAACCACAGCTGGCTCTCACCTTAGGAATTTATGCTGCTCTATCTTCATTTATAACTCAAGATCTTTTTATTACCTTCTCTGGGAACCTCTGGGCACATAACTATTTTCCATACATCACCATTATCCAAGTCACTGTTGATTATGTGGAAAATTGTCATCTAGTATGGTCATCATATCTACTTTGTTTTCTTTCATGTTTCTATTCAAGAAATATCCATTTGCCTGTTTGTATGTGCATGATTTTGAGATATATCAGGGGCCGGTTTGGCTGCGGCATATGAATTGCCGTCTGGGTGAGCCAATGAGGGCAAACTTTTTGAAATTTTAAAAGTTTTGCCCTGATCGCAATAAGTGGCAGTTTATGCAAAAGCTGGACTGATTTCTGTAGCAATTGGCCCCATACCATACAAAATAAAATGGGCATGCGTGTATTGGCACTTTATGTAAAGGCAGTTTATGCACTTTACATAAGTTGGTTTCCATTTAATTTTCCTTTTCTCAGCTTTGGAATTGCTATATCTTACGTTTAACAATCAGAAAAAGAAACAGTCATGCCTTACATGGCTTTCACTTGACAGGATTAAGATGCCCCAGAACTATGTTGTGCACCTTGGTAATAGCAAAGATTTAATGGAAGCAGCTGAGGATAGTGTCGCAAGGAGGGTTCTCCGTGAGCATGTAAGAGGCTCCCTTGGAGTTCGAAATGAAGATCTTCTATTTGCCATAATAAATAGTACGTGCTTTCTACTTGTCGATGGAAAAATTTCCTTCGGATTTGTGCCTTAAAATTATTAGTGCAGTTACCATTCACTGGAATTTTCTGGTATTAGAAATTATTTGTTTAATCAACTTACTGGAACAAACTGTCTAGATCTGGACCTGTGCTCTACGTTCATTGTTTTCCTTGGGTTGAATTACAAATTTATAAATACAGGATGTTATTTGAAATTTATAATTCAACCCAAGGAAAACAATAAACGGAATCGCCCGGAATCTAGTATATTTTTTATAATAAACATAATTAATTTAAAAAATACTTTAAAATTGCTAGTATATTTTTTAAGCAAAAAGATGGCTCTTGCATATATATTTTGGGTGGCCGCCCAAAATAAATCTGTATTTTGATGGACAATTGCTTCAAGGTCTAGAACTAGAAACCTGCCCATTTTAATACGAAATGTTGAACTAATAAACCATATGTCACCAATAAAATGAAGAAAGTATAGCATTTTATTAAATGCCTAATAGTAGCAAATAAGAATAAGTTGAAGAAAGAAAAGAAGTGGCAGAATTGTCCCACATCGACAATTCTAGGGAGAATCGAGTTGTATAAAAGGCTTAAGGCTAGTGTGTTTAATTGCTCTTGGTTGAGTAGGACACATGGTCAGTGTACGGTTGGGGCCATTAATTGGTTGTGGGGCCAGGCTATTAAAATGTTTCTTAGACACAATATTAAAAGCGAAATGATGACGTCAGAACCGGAACTGGTACGAACCGGTTCTGTGGTGGATCTGTGGGATTCGGAACAGTTAGGACGATTTCCGATCCGGATCGGATTGCTGGATTTTTAAACACTGGTTGAAGCTTTTCCTTTTCCTTTTTTTGATTAGGTTAACTGGTTTTTTTATTTTTTATTTTTATTTTTATTTATTTTTTTGGGTGGGTCAGGTCAGGGGAGAGTGCCCCTACCTTTTTCTTTTATAAGCATTGCTGCCCATAAAGCGTTATTGCTTTCTTATTGTGTCTCAACTCAATTAAACCAACCATGTAGTGACAAAACAAAGCTACTGCAGTTGTTCTCGCTAACTTAGTTAAATTTTGTTAGACACACCGCAATTGTCATACATAGAGTACAAAACCTCTCTAATCTATGAATGCTATATGTTTTTCTTGCATGACGTACTGAAGAGAGCTCCTTCCAACATGATGTTCATATTTGTTCAATTGAGGACTGTGTCATGCTTTTCCATCTTGAGTATTAAAATTAACTGTATATTCTATGTCTACTTCGTGACTTACCTGAACCTAGGATCGGCAATGTGTAGGTGTGTCTCGTGGGAAAGGCCAGGATTTATTTCTTCAATCATTCTATGAAAGTCTGCAGATTATCCAAGAGCAGAAGCTACAAGTGCCATCAATGCATGCAGTGATAGTTGGAAGTGATATGAAGGCACAACCAAAGTTCGAAAAACAACTGCATGATTTTGTTGTAGAAAAAAAAATTCAGGATCAAGTGCATTTTGTCAATAAGTCGTTGACTGTTGCTCCTTATTTGGCTGCTATAGATGTGCTTGTTCAGAACTCACAGGTACTATTGTTTAGTCGTTGTCGGGACTTCTACCATGCTATTTCATTTGCTATGAATATTTAACTTTAAGTTCATAAAATTTTACCCTCCATCTTCTTTAGTAAGGAAGTCATGGACCAGTTCAGATATTTTGGATTTAGGAAAGGCATTCTTTTAATTCAATTTCATTCTGATATTAAAACCTTCCTTGCCATATAGGCCCGAGGAGAATGCTTTGGGAGGATAACTATTGAAGCAATGGCATTTCAGCTCCCTGTATTGGTATGTCTTTTTCCAAATGTCAAAGAATCTAGAGAGAGAAAAGAGAAAGAGGAAGAGAGACGAGATATGTGAGAGACGTGAGAGAAAGAGAAAAGAGGGATATGAGAGAAATGTGAGAGACAAGAGAGTGACGTGAGGTTCAAAAATTGACCCCCCGTGCACCTCTTAAACCACTTATATATTATTAAAAAATATGAAAGGGCAAAACTGCCCATACAAATATGAAAGGACACTTAGGTCCTAGAGATTAGATAAAAGGACTTTTAACACTCGCCCTCAAGTTGGAGCATAAATGTCACCCATGTCCAGCTTGGAACACATTGACATATTTTTTCCTTTTTTTTTGAGAAGAAAACTTGACATACTATTTATTAGTCAAGGCCTTTGGTGAAGATATCTGCCAACTGATCCTTAGATTTTACATATGGAGTAGACGCTTGCTTCCTTGCAACTTTCTCTTGAATAAAATGACAATCTACTTCAATGTGCTTGGTGCTTTCATGGAACAATGGATTTTTGGCTATAAACCCCATCTACTGCATCGGTGTTTTTCAGCCACATCAATTCACATGTGGTATATTTCATTGCTTTATATTCAACCTTTGCACAAGATCTAGCCCCAACATTTTGTTTCTTGCTTCTCCATATTACTAGGTTTCCACTAATAAATATGCAGTAACTTGCGCTAGATAGCCTGTCAGATGGTGAACCTATCCAATCAGCATCTGAGTAACTTTCCATAGCTAAATGATTATTTGTCTTGTAAATCAAACCTCGACTTGGAGCTCTGTTCAGATACCTTAAAATTCTATGAACAAGTGAGGAATCCTCATAGTATGCATAAATCGACTTCCAACACCTATTGCAAAAGCAATATCAAGCCTCGTGATGGTTGGATAAATCAGCTTGTTTATCACTCTTCTATACCTTCGTTGATCCTCAAACCGCTCCTCGTGATCAAGCAATAATTTTGTATTTGAATCCACAAGCGTATCCATTGGTCTAGCACCCAATATTCCAGTTTTTGTCAACAAATCAATCACATATTTTCTTTGAGACAAACTAATGGCATGCTTAAATCTGTCTGCTTCAATTATGAGAAAATACCTTAGCTGACCTAAATCCTTCGCATATTGTTTTAGATGTCTCTTTAATTGACTTAACTTTTTCTTGATCATTGTCAGTAACAACAATATCATCAACATAGGCGACTAAAACAATTATTTTGGAATCTTTTTCCAAATAAACACTGAGTGATGTACATGACTGCACGGAAATCTATATGCTATAACAATTTCACTGAATTTTTCAAACCATGCACGTGGGGTCTTTCTGGCCACAAATGGCATTCTTCAACTTATACACTTTATCTAACTCCTCTGAGCGACAAACTAGGTAGTTGCTCCATGTACATCTCTTCTTGTAAATCACCATGGAGAAAATCATTCTTGACATCGAGTTGCCACAACAGCCATCCCTTGTTGGCAACTACAAATATAACCACCCGAAGTGAATTAAGTTTAGCAACATGGGCAAATTTTCGGAGTAGTCATTGCCAAATGTTGTGTGTATCTGTTGGCTACCTATTTGGATTTATCTCTGTACAGTGCCATTAGGTTGGTGTTTGATTGCATAAACTAATTGACATCCAACAGCCCTTTTTCCAACTGTTATCTATGTGACCCATATATCATTTGAATGAAATGCATTTGTCTCCTCTTCTATTGCTCTCTTCCACCCGGTATGAGAAAGTGCTTCTTGATGGATCTTAGGAGCAGAAATAAATAAAAGGGTTAAAGCAAAACTTTGATGTGATGGAGACAAATATGTAAAGGTAACAAAAAGTACAATTGGATGTTGAGTACAAGGCTTGAAACCTTTACGGATGGCAATAGGTACGTCATCATGAGAAAGAAGTGGATCAGTAGATGGAGACGATGATTGAGTGGCTGGCTGAGTTGGTGGGGAATGTCCACCCTACGTTTTTCTTCTGGTGTAAACTTGAGAACCATCATGATGTGTAGATGTACCATTTAGTGGAGTTGGGTAACTGGGGTGAAGAAGTATCGATTGGAATAGGAAGAGGAATCGTAGAAGGCAAGGACTTTGAGACTTCTTCATAAGCAGGGTAAAAAATATTGGTATCAAACACATGGCTCTCTTTTGAAAAATAAGGAGTATTTTTTAAAAAGTAACATTGGCACAAACAAATTTCTTGTTTAAACCAGGATGATAACAAAGATAACCTCTTTAGAAGTGTGAAAACCTGAAAAAGACACTTTAGAGCCCAAGGATCTAGCTTATTATTACTAGTACCTAACATGTGAACAATGCAAACTCACCAAATGCTCAAGGAGGAACGATAAACAGTTGAGCATTTGGAAAGAGAACCGAGTGTGGTGTTTTTCCATTTAAGACTGCAAGGGAATATGATTAATTAAATATCATGAGGTTAGCAAGGCATTTCCCCAATAAACCTTTGGAATATGCATATTAATGAGCCTTGGTTTTAGCAATTGCATTTTGTTGAGGAGTATGTGCACAAGAGGTTTGTTGTAAAATCCCATCTTGAGCAAAGTAATATTGAATTCTCTAGAAAGATACTCATAAGCATTAGAAAAAAAAACACATTCCTATTGAATTGAGTTTTGATCTCTTTGTTAAACAATTTTAAAATGGAGAAAATTTCAGATCTCTCTTTTATTAAATATAACCACGTCATTCGTGAATAATCATCCACGAAAGTTACACAACACCTATGACTAGACAAACTTTGTACTCTAGCTGGACCCCATATCTCAAAATGAACCATTGTAAGTGGAACAAGTCTCCATTTGTCGACTGTAGGATAAAATGACACCTATAATGCTCTCCTAACTGACAAGCTGCACCCTCTAAAGCAGACATAGACTTCAAAGAAGGAACTAATAACTTCAAGTTATTGAGGGAAGGATGACCCAGCCGACGATGCCATAAGAAAGGAGAATCAACGGAGTGAAGAGCATCGCCAATCAGGTTATGATCCAATTAGTATAGGTGGCCTAACTCAGTACCCGCCACCAATTGTCCTCTTCGTCTTTAGATCCTGAAGGACACAAGAAGGAGGATAAAATGTTACAGAGCAATGAAGAGATTTGGTTAATTTGCTCACAGATAATAAATTGAGAGGTAACTTTGGAATGTATAATGCAGGTGACAGAAAAAGAGAAGTAGGCATAACTATAGTTGTTGGAGGCATGAGCAGGATTGGTTCGGGGAATGCCAACCCGCCATACGGTGGAAACTCCTTGGGGTTTGGATCGAAGCCGGTACATTCAACAAGTTAAGGAGCTAGATCCTAGGATACTTGGGAGCGAGATCCCTTGTCACTGGGATTGAGGTTTTGATTTGCAGATATGTAAGCTCCACTATACATGAGATGGATCAATTAAATGTATATGATGAAATTAGGATCGAGCCAATGCATGTTCGATCTATTATCATTTATCAAACACCTTAGCTTATTACTAATGCAATAGGTATAGTACTCCGATTTACTACAATAAAATATTTTAATAAATTTCATAAATTTGCTTACTATCATATTAAGCTGTAGTTTTTTAATACCATAATTCCAGTATACCACGATGTGATATGCACTACAATTATACATATTCGAAGGAAATAAATTTATAATACCAAGGAGAGGAGCAGTAGTTCGATTAAGCGTTAACTCCTCTCTTTGGAGGGGTCCTACAAGGATGTAGATGGAGATCCCTATCTCTCAAAATCCAGCTCTCTCTAAGTTCCCTTAAAGGAAGTGTGGGATCGAGTTCCTAAGGTGGGACCGTGGCCTTACCCCAAGGTTGCAACTATGGGGCATAATTTTACCGTGTCCTAACACATTGGATAGTGATCCATCAGCCAAGGTAACATAGGAATTAGGAATACACTTATTTTAAGAATGAAGCCATCAGTCACGTGATCAGAGGGTTTTGAGTCGATAACCTACGGAGCAGGTTTTTGGGAGGCAAGAAGCATAGAAGTACCTGAATTGGCAAGGACGGCAGTAGAAGAGGAAGAGGGAACCACAGACTGCTGTACTTGTTTAATATGTTTATTATATTCCTCTTTGGACAACACAATAGAGTCAACAGTAGAATTGGACTGTTGTTGGCTATCATTGGGTCCATTCAGATAAAGGTCCTCATTCTCAAATGTGTATCTTGCTATGCCCAAGCAGGCTTTCCAACCTTGTCTGAACACTTAATGATTTGTACACCCACAATGCTCCCACTTGCGAGTTCCTCGACCCCTGCCACCATCACCTCTACGTTGGCCTCTTCCTGAGTCATGACCACGTCCTTGACTTTTGCCTCCACCTCTCCCTACAACTGTATTCAAGGCTGAGTTAGAAGGAGTGGGAGAAGCAGATATATTGACATGCTCAATGCATGTGTGACATTTATGAGAGATTGGAGTTCACTGCTTGACAATATCTGCCCATTTACCGAAATGTACTCGGGATTAATGCCAGGTAAAAATTTGGCAACTCTAAATTCTTCATGCTGCCTCTTCTTTAATTCCACATCACTAGATATAGGTTAACATAGATTCAACTCCTCCCACATACCCTTGATGGTACTGTAATACTCACACTCTTGTAATCCTTTTGCAATATAGGTTTCTCAAGCAGCTCATATACTTGAGAGATATTTTTATCTAATGGATATGTTTCTTTCCAAGTGTTCCAAATTTCTTCAATTGTATCAAGAAACATTACATTGAGGCTTATTTGGGGTTCCATACTACACAACCAGGTCATGATCATATAATTCTTCATCATCCATTCTTCATATTGACTATCAATTTGCTAGGCTTATTCACAGTCGAGTATTTCAGTTTGGCCCTTGCACCGTAGGATACTTTTGACATGTTGAGCCCATATAACATAATTAGACTCATTTAATTTTACTGAGGTCACTAGTATTCCTATAGTTTCAGGAAGACTAAGGACTCCAGGTTTAATTCCTTATCCATTAGTATATAAAATAAAGCGAACATAGAACAAGCAGGAAAAGCAAATTTCAGTCACTCACACAAGCCTACTACAATGTTAGATACCACATAAAGAGGGGAGAGATATTTATTCAGCTCTAATCTTGTTCTCACACTTGAACGAATTAAAGCAATGCCACATTAAACACATCTAAGCATCACCACACTGCCATCACTGAAACTAGGTCAGGACCTCTTTGTAGATCTTGATCTCGATAGAGAGAGCGTTGCCACATTAACAGCAGATCCACATGGTCTTCTGCATACAAACCCTAGGAAACAACTGTAGGGTTTAGATCGAACAACCCTAGGATACCCCTTGACAAGATCAGCATCAATGGGGTTAGGGTTTACTATTAAACCAATCATATATTATTAAAAAATATGAAAGGAATTTAGGTCCTCGAACTTAGATAAAAGGAATTTAAACACCCAATTGTTCTCAAATTATTAGTAAAGAAACAAGGTGCCCATTGGAAATCGGTTTCATAGATTTTTGGTGGAATTCAATTCATTTTTTTGTGGTTGGTGAACTAACGATGTAGGCCGAGGGGTTGGGCTCCTACACGAGCGTAATATGTGAGGTGGGCTTGGAAAGATGGGTTTGGGTATAATTTTGCCCTTGACATTACTATCTTAACTACTTTCCCAAACTGGCCCTAACATCCCTACAAAACTATTAAAACAAAAAAAAAAACCTAAAAGTAATCCCATAAAATCCAAAAATGTATCTCTTAATTCCAACACTAAAAATCCAAAGAAAAACCCAGATTTGTCCATCTTGCCCTTGTATCCTCAATCTACAAAGGGGCAAGAGATATTGCTGTTTTTTTCCCCCTTTCATGCATTGAAAAATGAAAAAGCAATACCTAGAAAGGTTGCTGCACAGCAGATGCATTCAATACAAACACTAGGAGATACAAAGCAAATGCATATGGACTAAGCATCAAGAAAGTGGGTTGTATCCAATGTTTAGCTTCATATACCACAAGTTAATTGTTCATATCCTTAATTTGAGTTCTTAATTTGGTGTTATCCCCATATCTTTAACTAGTAGGGCACAGCAGCTGGTGGGACCACTGAAATAGTTGTAAATGGTTCAACTGGTTTATTGCATCCTGCTGGGAAGGAAGGGGTGATCCCTTTGGCAAAGAATATCGTGAAGCTAGCTACACACGTGGAACGCAGGTTTACAATGGGCAAGAAAGGCTTTGAAAGGGTGAAAGAGAGGTTTATGGAGCATCATATGGCTGAGAGAATTGCCAAGGTTCTCAAGGAAGTTTTGAAAAAGTCAGGCACTTCAGCTCATTCCTTCAAATATTGAAAATTACCTCTGTTGGAAAATATCATGTGGTATGCACATTCGCCCCTATGATTCAGATATTGAGGAGCATGTAAAGAAAATTGAGCTCAGATAAAACACAGTTTGAGAGATGATCCATGCTCCTATCACTGAACTCTTGAAAATCGAGGATGTTATGTGAAATTTATATGCTCATGATAGTCTCTTTCTAAGAAATTAAAAGATTTTTGTAGATTTTTATAGCTGGAAACTCTGTACATATGAAAATTTTTAGGGGGTTAACACGTTTTGTGGAGCTCCAGTTTTGTGAGAAGCTCCACGGCATTTTAGATGGGCTAGCTTTTGGGTCTGTTCTGAGTTGATCAAACAGATCCAATGCTCGAGCCTCAAACTTGCAGGGAGAAGATATTGTTGTTTTCTTGGCGTGCTAACGGTGTACTGGCACCACTATGTTAAAATTTCTTTAA